GCAAATGTTCCCACATATATTTCACTTGTAAGGCGTCTTCCCAGTGTGAGATCTAAAATGTCTAGAAAGACATGAGGAAGAAGCAAAGGCTCTCTACATTTGTCACATTTAAATGGCTTCTCTCCAGTGTGAGTTCTTATATGTTGAATAAGGGTTGTGGACTGGGTAAAGGTTTTGCCACAGTCCTTACATCCATAGCGTTTTTATCCTGTGTGAATACGCTTGTGGCTGTTAATATATGAAGAACAGGTTAATCTTTCCCCACATTTATTACAATCAAAAGGCTTCTCTCCATTGTGAGTTCTAAAATGCTGAGTAAGATCCGTGACATTAACAAAGGCTTTCCCACATTGGTCACATTTAAAAGTCTTCTGTGCAGTTGGAGATCGTAAATGTTTAGCAAGACTGCGGGAAGTAGTAAAGGCTTTTCCACATGCGTCACATTTAAAAGGTTTGTCCCCACTGTGTGTTTCTAATTGTCTACTAAAGCTTAAGGACACAGTGGAGACCTTTCCACTTCCCTTACGTCTGGCACGTGTGTTAGCAGTGTGAGTTGGTACATGTGCACCAAGGCTTGCTGAGTGAACAGAAGCTCTCCCACATTTCTTCCGTCCATAGGGCTTTTCTTTATCATGAGTGCCGTACTGTGCCTGAAGCTGAGGTTGATTAACAAGTTTACGTAGACTGATTTTGGCTATGTAACCAATGGGGTTATATAATAGTAAATAGTTATATAAATAGTAAATAGTTAAATACTAGTAAATGCATGCCTTTGCTTGCCTGACGCTGAGACATCTGCAGTTATCTTGGTGGTTTATGATTGGAAGAAAACACACATCCTGGGTGTCCAAGAGAAGTATTTATACATGCCTGGGTGTCTTGGATCTCTGTGATGCTTGCCTGTGCTTCCTTTCTCCCCCAGTGCTGTATCCTCTGTCTTTTTAAAAAAATATAGGGGACATATAACATCTTAAGTTTAAGATGTTAATGCAATACATTTATATATTGTAATATGGTTGCCAATGTAGCATACTTTATCACATTATGTAATTATTTCCTTTTAGTGATTAGAATAATTAAGTTCTAATCTCTTAGCAAGTTTGATTTTTTTTCAATAGAGGCACTGGGGATTGAACCCAGGACCCCATACATGCTAAGCATTTGCTCCATCACTGAGCTATTACCCTCCCCACGAGTCTGATTATTATAATACAGTATTGTTGTCTGTATTCACTATTCTGGGCATTAGATCTCTAGGACTTATTTACTACTCATTGCAAATTTGCACCTTTTCAAAACTTCTGTCTTACCCCCTACCTCCCAGCCCCTAGTAACTACCATCTCTGTTTTTACTCGTTTGGTTTTTTTTAGATTCCACATATAAGTGATATCACACAGAATTCGTCTTTCTCTGACTTATCATAATATCCTCAAAGTCCACCCATGTGATCGCAAATGGCAAGATCCCTTCTTTCTTATGGCTGAAAAATATCCCATTGTGTGTGTGTGTGTGTGTCTGTGTCTGTGTGTGTGTCCGTGTCTGTGTGTGTGTGTGTGTATCCTTCTGTATCATTATATATATCTTCTTTTTCTGTTCATCTGGTCCCTTAGGTTGTTTCCATGTCTTGGCTATTGTGAATAATCCTGCAGTTATCATCGGAGTGAGTATATCTCTCAGAGATCCTTTGTTGTTTTAAAGCCTACTGTAAGTATATTTTTTGTTCACTTTTAGAATTTTAATGTGGTTTAATAAAGAGTCTGTTTGACACCTACTAGGGGAGTTGTTATTTCTACTCAAATTGTTCTTTGGGAAACACAATTTTTTTCTCTCTCAAGGCATTAGCCAGACTTTTTTCATTTTATGGTGGAATTCTGTCTGATGTCTTGTTTTTATGCATTTAATGCTGGGGTCTTACACAATAATTGGCCTAAATCATTCAGTAAGATTCATCAGATTTGACTGATTAATTAAATGATGAGACAACCAGGTGAAAAGCCCTTATCAAAATTTTCCAGATCCACTGTCCTGACGTCCTGACTCTTTGCCTCTTTACTTTTCTACTAAGGACTACCAAAGTGCAGAATAGGGTCATTGGGACTTTCCAGGATTTGTTCTTCAGTGTCTTAGGGCACTGTTTACTCAAATGTCTGATCATTTGGCATGCTTTTAGAAGTAGATTTTCAGGATTCAACAGTTCCATCTAGGTATATGCCCCAAAGAATGGAAAGCAGGAACTCAGGTGACAAATGTTTTTCTTTTTGTTGTTTACACTTCATTTCCTACCAGTCTTTTTCTCTATGTATACACATATTTTACATAAACATACACACAGACCCACAATTAGCATCCTTTTGTGCCTATGTTTAAGTTTTCTTCCTTTCCATTAATTTTATGATGGTTCAGATTCAGCTAAAATTATGAATTGCCCCAGGGCAATGGCTCTCAAAGGATTGTTATGGGGACCAGCAAAACTTAGAGCTCATAAAAAATGCAAATGATCCAACCCAAACCCAGATCTACGAGACAGAAACTTGGGGCGGGACTCAGCAATCTATGTTGTAACAAGTCCTCAGGGTCATCGTGGTTCAGGCTCCAGTTTGAGAACCATTACCCTAGTGAATCCTTTGGTACTCTGCCATCTTCCTAATGAGGAACCTGTGAGTCAGAAATTGCTGACACTTGTTCCTAAGAGGAAATCCAAGGGAGACTAGAGTGATTCTTCCCTGAGGAAGGGAACCCAGCAGAGAGAAATCACAGCTAGCCCCTTTGTAAGTCTCCCAGGGAACAATGAAGTGGCAAGTCAGGGACATCTTCCTGTCCCTGCCCTTGAGGAGTCAAACTGATCAAAGAATGCAAGATTGACTGATCAATTTGTCTAACAAGCTTCAGAGGGTTTTCAGCCCCCAGGGCCACAAAATCTGTAACACATCATCTCCTAGTCACTAAGGCTCCCGTGTGCCAGACCCAGGACACTCATGCCTTCCCCAGGTGAAATCAACCAGGCTCCAAACCAAATGGCTGGCTCCGTATCCCTGTTTTTTGGTGGGACAGACCTCTTTCTTCAGCATCCATCCTTCATGAGAGAACAAGGTTCAGAGGAGTTGCCCCCTGTGGTGGACTTACATGGCCAAGCCTGCATAGCCCAGTAAGTGTTGTAGGAAGGAGGAAAAAGAGGTGGTTGAGTGGAAAAGGCATTGACTGTTATTTAGCATAAGGCAGAGGACACCCTAGCATGTCTATGGAGAAGGAGCAGCTCTAGAGGCTAACTGCATGGGAGAGTGGATGGCTAGACTACTTGTTTGAAGTTGCCATTACAGAGTGAGCTTTTACTTCAGTTATATGTTCTTTGGGTGGAAGGTTGATGGAGATTATGGGGAGGGGAGGAAGAGGCTAAACCCTGAGTTCACTCTAACTTCATAGCTCTTCCCAGAAACACACTAAGTAGTGATACTGTTACCAACCTGAGGTATACAAAAGGATGCCCCCAGGTATTGATAGAATTTTACATCCCTTATGGTGATTCTCTTCGTGTTCTTTTCTCCTGTTACTTGGCCCAAGAACTCTAAAGCCTCTGTCTTCACTGAGGCTAGACAAGTCCTTTGTGAATTATTCTCCATTGTCCTCATTTGCTTTGGAGCATCTCCT